CAAAACAATCTTTCTTTTCTCTTATATACTTTCATTATATATTCATGAATCACCCCTTGGAGGACCGTAACAAGTAACGTTGCCTGTTAGGCTCCTAAGGTAGAGGGAACTTGACCAAATTCAAAATAAGAATATTCACGATAGTATTTTCATGCGTCTGTCAGCATTCACTCCTGATAGAAATATGTTAAGCCTTATTTACAGAACATTGGAGGTCATCACTATGCGTAAGCTGGGTTAAGTCCTCAATAGTTCTTATTCACGAGGTATAACAGCTCTATGCTGTATGAATGTACCGAAACTACTGTTGGACAAGTTTCTGACTAGGACTGAAAGATGTGTAACAATATAAGACCCCTGATGCTATAATACTATATATGTTCTACAGCCGAGAGTATATTTAGTTAGATGATGAACACTTGACGTATCATCCACCGTATCCTCCCTTCACTTTCGATTACCCCATCCTTCCTCACTTCCACAAGTCGCGTCCCACACATTAGGGCGCCGCGCCGCTATTGGCCAGAGGAGCAAAGTGGATTTTGGCGATTCTTCCAACATCTCGAAGATTCCTGAGCATCTATTGGTGGAAGAGTTTGCAAATGACCGGTGAATGCGTCGGCGGAAGTAGTTACCATGGACCCGTGATGATGTTGTCATTACTTGTCAAGTAATATCACGATATGAGGTGGTATGACGGAATTTTGTGGGGGTGCTTAACTGCTTGAAGAAAAGAGCACTGCCCGTAATGCTGTCAAATTTCTCCAATCTCGCCAGTGGAGTACGTAGAAACAACGCAAGGTACGATGTAGCAAAAGTAGTTGCCGTAGCTAAACACAATAAATTAACAAGATAGCAAAGCGATATAAAACTAAAAGTAAGACTGATCTTGCATATGAGTATCGCATTTGACCAGTCACCTGGCTAGCCGGCTATCTATGATTTTACTACTCCCTCTCCGTTATTTGCCCATACTCTTGCTTCCAATATATTTGATTCTTCTAAGGCGTGTGTTCTTCCCTGCTGACTTAAGGAGAAATTCATTTTCTTCTATCTAGCATCTCCCGTGTCTGTCTCCATGGCCCTGGGGCTGCGTGTTCCTGGCTTTGGTCAGATGTAACCAGGTCTGATTGAGTTGCATGATAAAACGTGTTTGCAGCATGGACCCGGCGACGTAGCGGATAAGAAACGGATCTGATATGATCGAATCTTAGCCAGTGATCTTACCCTCGGGGGTGGATCCACGAGGGGCAATCTTATCCATCACATCAACAATCCTATTGAGCCCTTTTAACCCTCACGATAAGAGGTTTCTTATCCCAAAACCACCAGATCCCTTGCTTCTCCCAGGCCGGCACATCCACCCCCGCTAGATCATACCTCCACAACAGCCGTGCCAGAATGAGCCGTAGCTCCATCCAAGCCAAGTTCTGGCCAGGGCAATTATGCGACCCGAGTGAAAATGGATTGAAAGCTTCCTTCTGCTTGCTCATATCTTCTCCTAGCCACCGTTTCGGGGCAAACTCACCCGGCCCAGTGAAATTGCGGGGTGCGCGGTAACTAGCAAACGGAGGGATTGAGACAATCATCCCTTCTGGTACAAATTGCCCGGCCACCCTGGCTCCACCCCGCGGGACCTGTCTTCGCATGGCGTCTGGAATTGTTGGGCATAGGCGCATACCCTCCATCAAAACTGCGTCGAGATATGAGAGAGATTTTAGCCGGGTGGCTGTAATATCCTTTTCCGTAGGGAAGGTGTCATGGAGCTGGTCTACCAATTCACGGAGGGTGCTCTGGTCCCGCAGAAGATAATTGATGACTCCCGTGATAATGGTCGTAATTGACTCACTCCCAGCTGCAATGATCAGCATGGAATTCACTTCCATCTCCTCCTGCGTCATGGCGCCCGATGCCATCATTATTCCCACGAAGTCCGGTCGCGTGGCAGTACTAGGAGTAGCGGTGGCTACCCGCTCCGCCACCTTTTCATCCGTGACCTTCCACATCTCCATAACTGGCTTCAGGGCATCCGCTGGGGTGATGGCCATCATGAAACGATAAAGCAGAGGATAGAATTTCATCGAGCCAACAACGATGGCAGCTTTGAACTGGCTAACTGTCTGCACCCAGGGATGGTACCGCAGACCCTCGAGGCACCCGAACGAGCTACCCCAGGTGAGATCACCTATCACGTCAAAGGCGAGGTAATTGATCCATCCTACAAGGTCTAAGTCAGCACTTTGGGTGGCACCGTCACCTCCACTGCTCGCAACCTTTGCGTCCAGCTTAGCAAAAAGCGCATCGATATATTTTTGTATAATCGGTTCCTGAAGTACAGTAAATTTCTCCGAAAAACCTGGTGCCAGGTTCTTGCGAAGACGGGCATGTTCAGCCTCCGAGCAGGCAATTAGATTCGGTGCTGTCTTGCCGGGAGGCTGGTCTTTGTATTGATGCGGGCGGACAAATTCACGGTCTGACGTGTAGATGTCCCGCCAGGCGCGCGGGTCTATGAACGAGAGTTCATCAGGTGCAACACGGACAATGTCACCATATTGGGTGTGGAAGTCATGTATACGATGAGGAAGTTGGCCGCTGATATTGGTGAGAATGAAGGGGAAACGGAATGCACGCCAGAGGGTAGGGCCGGGGTAGCGGGCAAGAGGATGGAGAAAGAGGTTATAAATGATGAGGGTGGTGAGATACTGACTTACGGGTCAGTTTGACTCGCAGAATTCCCGGGAATCGGAGATGGGTACTTACGAGGATGAGCAGGATGGCCGCAATGATGAAAAGAGCCATTGCCTTGGGGTGAAGGAGGAGAGTGGTGTTGGACTGGGAGATACTGAGAACAAAATGGGTTGGCACATACACCCGGCGAGGAAGTGGAAAAGCACGGGGTGAGGCAGCCTCTCTGTACACCGGGCATAATCGGTAACGATCGCAACATGATTAGCGAGAGGCGGAGTTTACGTTCTAAACTAGCATGAGGGCTAAGCATGTTAGTTCGCTGACACTAAATTAAGATGCGGGGGTTGTATGGAAACAAGAAAGTGATGTGGCCCCCACAATAAGCACTAGGCATGTCCCTTAACTACGCCGTATTTCACACAGGGCATGCCATAGTAAGTTCAGAACAACCAGCGCCCCAGAACCGAGGGACCCACATACCCTATGTGGTTCTCGTTCTGACCGCCCAAGCAGAAAGCATAGTGGTTCTATTTGCCGCACGGGCCTGCGACTGGTAGCTAATTAAAAGCGGCCCAGACATGACAGGCTCGTTAGTAGATAGCATCCTACTCCGCACCTGAAATAACAGTTCATGTAGTATACCTGCCTGATCAGGCTAGTTGCAGCTCTATGGTGCCAGGGGTACCTCGCTCTAGATTGATCGAGACAAAGCAAACTAGATACTGTCCTTCCTCCGCACCTGGGATCACCTAATTCCTGTCTGTGACTTTTGCGTGTAGTATTTCCGGATCTGCTAAGGATCTCGGTCCGCTGGTCTATCGGTGCGTTGGGCGGGAAATTCCTGGACCGATCCTCCCATACATGCTGTCGGAACAAAGAAATGAGGCGAAGTAACCCCTCTATCTCAAGCTAAAGTGCTTCTGATGCGTTAGTGTAAACATCCGCTCCACCACGCGGTAAACTCGGATTTTTCGGTGACCAGTCCAGCCTGGCCTTTTACACATAATAGCCCTTGTTCCTCGCGACGCCCTCGCTGGTATTGTCCTCACTGTCAATCCCAAGCGCCGTTAATTCTCAGTTTCCGAAAGGAAAACAAGAAATAGAACCGAGCAATTCCAACATGACGTCCTTGCAGCCCATCAAGCTTTTCTGGCGAAGTACGTTCCGTCTCTCTATCTCACCCTTGAGTGGTATGCCCACTACGTCAAAGAAAGCAATGCTAAGAAGCGGAAAAACAAAATTCAGACCAAGTACCCAACCCCTCCAAGGTCCTCATCATCCTCGAGGAGCTTAACCTTCCTTACGAGTCCTCATGGGTCGAACTTGACGGACTGAAGACCAAGCCCTTCACCGACGTGAACCCTAACGGCCGAGTTCCCGGTATGTAGAATAGATCCGTTCCTCCACAACACGCCATTATTACTGCAGGTCCTGATGAGACTCGATTCATAGCTATCATTGATCCCAACACCGGTCTTACTCTCTGGGAATCAGGTGCCATTGTTCAGTACCTCATCGACACCTACGACAAAGACCACAAAATATCCTACGATACATTCCCGGAACAATATCAACTGATCCAATGGTCTTACTTCCAGGCCTCGGGACAGGGCCCGTACTTTGGACAATCCGCATGGTAAGTTAAATTATGCCACCCAGCCTTTTGCGCCCACCAACGTTCGACCCTCTGACACATTTCATGTCCTTATCAAAAGGTTCAATATCTTCCACGAGAAGATCTATGGTGAATCCCCGGAAAGCGCCAAGGTGCGCTACGGTGCCGAGGTTAAGCGTGTAGCGGGTGTTTTGGACTCTGTTTTGAAGGAGCGCGATTGGCTCGTGGGCGACAAGTGCACGTACGCAGACCTGGCGTTTGTCATGTGGAATATGCAAATTGCGTTTTTCATGGCTGGTCGTGAAGGCGATCAGGCGTGGCGTCCCGAGGAGTTTCCTCATTTCACACGCTGGCAGGAAGCCATGCTGGCGAGGGAGTCGGTCAAGAAGGTGGTTGGGGTGTTGATGGATAAAGAGGTGAAGAGCTCTTTATCAGATTGGCTGGTTTGATGATTGGCAATATCTCAATATTGATGAACACACAAAGCGCGGTCACAGCTCCTTGTCATCTTTACTAAACAAATGCAAAGCTATATTCGGAAGGGAGGGCATACTTAGAAGTTGTAATATATAACTCGGAAGAACGAAAGGTACCTCGATACTAAACATACAGGCTCTACTTCTGGGTCGTAGACCCAATACAACAGACTTCCTCATGAAGATCATCAGAATCCAAATGGCACTCCGGAAACAAATCATCAAGCGGGAACAACCGACCACCCCTCGGCAGTAAATAGTAACTCCTCTCTCACGCGCATCATTTCTGGATCCACATAAACCTTCATTCTCATGCACTGCTGTCCTAGAATATACACTCGGAAGATCACATACACCATGTCCATGTTATCAGACCGTATCTCGCCATTGGACATCTCTTGCATCTACTATAGGTTAGTAATATGATTGCAACAGATATGTGACTTCTCTTACCCGTCGGTACTGGTGCTTGCTCATGAAGAAAGGCGTACGGTTGTCCGCAGTAGAAGATTTGACTTCTATGTAGAACCGAGGTGTCTTTCCCCTCCACACATCATCCCGTAGGTATCCTTTGTCTATGAAGAGGGAGGTGAGAACTCCGTCCTGATCATCGTAGGTAATGTCTGCTGTCTCACGACCATGCCATGCTGTCATGTCGGAATACTCGGAAGAATTGTGACGAATTTGGGGATCACGATTTGCCAGTTGTCGCGGGTGAAGGTAGGTAGGGGTGGATCTAGTCGTGAGAGGAGTTCGAATACCTGCTGCGATCAATATATATTCTTAGTGGTAAGGGTATAGGTAAGATGGCTTACGAATAGTTCTCCGGCTGCACCGGCCTTGAAGTCCCGTTCAAACTGGTCAGAGGCCCGCAGACGAATGGTCTCGGAGAATGCAACCGATGTGATTGAGGAGTCGTCCAGACCTGCCATGTCGAAGGTACATTGGCTGGGGAATATGGTATTCCTAGCAGACGCGAGCACAGAGGAAAGCAATTGGTAGTATTCGGGGTCGGCTGTTGTGTTTGTATAATTCTGTAGGAGCACTGGAGATGGGCGAGTTACAGGGAAAGACGAGTACCGGCCAAGCATCTTACCATTGCTGAATCTTTTGAAAAGGCAATAATAACCAAACAATTCTGATTTTTCAAGAAGAGCAAGTCCCAGCGGGCTGGCCCTGTTGGTCCTGGAGAAATACTAAACAACGCCCGGGAAACACGCCCTTCATATTATGTGTTGTGGAATGGGCAGGTGACGGAGACCAAGAAAGGCGAGACAGCCAAATTGAATGCAAAGAACACGGCGTCCACGCATCCGGCTTTCTGCAGAGCCCCTGATACGAACTAATATCTCCTTCATGCAGACATAAATCATTGTGAAAACTTAACAATTGCGGACCGAAGCGGACTAGTAATTCCGGGTTCACACCCAATGACTATACACTTTCGTCTGTTGTTCCACCAGCAGCCCTAGCAAAATCCCTCAAGAATCTCCAAGTCCCCTCTGCCTTGTATCCCTTGACGTCCCACTCATTAATGCTCCTTGGGAAGAAAGGAAGGACATCCAGGAGACTTGCATCATGCGAAATGATAACCATAACCTTGGATGAGCCATCGAAGCGCAGCAGCTTTTCTAGAGCGATCTCAGCATCTTTGAGATCCTCGTTCATTGCAGCGTTCAACTGGTAGAAGGGAGTGACTTTGGCATCTAAGCCTCTTATATTTGCAGAGGAAACTGCTTCGGAAATGGAGCCGGGACATACGGAGGGCGAGGAGATTTCCTCACCGAGTGGCGATGGCCTGATTTCGGTCGGAAGCGGGAGGTGTTTGGTTGGACGGTACTCCCCGGGATGATGAGCGATATCGCCCCCCAGGAAGATGAATCGGTCCTTCGACGTCCGGGCGAGAGCACTGATGTGGTTGTGCGCTATGTTTTTTTAAAAGTATCAGTAACTTACCACCCAGCAAGAAGCATCAAGTTGCGCCAACATAGCGATACTCACTATGTCCGGTTGATTTGAGCAGATACAGGCTTCCATCTTGGAAGAAGTCGATGGCCAAAAAGCCACCAATGGTCATGGCGTTCCAGAAGTCCAGCACGACCAAGCTACGGCCCGAGAAGGCGTCGTCAGTCACCAGAGCATCGGCATTGGTAGGATAACCCGGGAACGTCCTTTTATTGCGGTTGAAGCCGGGTCCAACGATTAAATCCGTGGATGGGGGAAAAAGAGATGGATCTCCTGTATGGTCCATATGGTGGTGTGACCAAATAATAGCGTTGATCGATTCCAGGGGGACATTCGCGTTGCGAAGTTGATCGGCGACGTCTTGCTCAATGTCCACTAGTGCCTTAGCAGACTGGATTTGGTGAAGGACTTTTTGTTCGATCACCATTAGCATATATAGTGGACTAACATTTGCTGCACGGGTGAATAGCCCGGTACACACTATAGATGGGGATCTTGCTCACTAGACGGCGGCAGCTTTTCCTTCCAATTTTTTCTTATCCCAAGGTCAAAGAGAACCTTTTTATTCAGCCTTCTGTTCTCGATTAAGAAGCTGTAGCAAGGCATGTCAAGCACATTATGCCCAGCAATTGGCCTGTCAACCACGTAGGCTGTGGGTACTGTCGTTCGTCCCGCGTGGATAACCGATACCTCCACAATCGTGCCCATATCGTACGGTAGCAACGGCGCCATTGTTGTTCATGAAGCCGAGAATATATTGGGCGAATAGAAATAGTTTGGTCTGTCGTAATGAACCGGAAAGTTTTACTATAGATCAAGTGGTTATGTTTTCAGGAGACATCGGTCTATTTAAACTCTGTGGCAGTGTATAGGAGAAATCCGGCCCGGGAGGTATCTGGGCATCCGGATTGCCATCGAGAAAAGATGATTGTTCATCGTACCCCGCGGGACTTCTCAGAGATTTGAAATCAAATTGAATCCGATAGCTGAAGGTGACCGATGATTATAAATTGAGGAGTAGAACATCACCGATTTGAAAGCAGTAGTCAGTTCTGATTCTGTTCTCATAAGCGGTATCGGCGGGCGATTGTTGATACGACAGGATGCGACACTAATCGACATGCGAACATGACGGGTTCACGCTATTTGCTACGTATGATGAAACTACTATATCTGCCATTGTCTTGGGCTGTTCCACTTCTTGTTGTCGGAACATGAACATGGATGAGGCTCGTATATTATGGCGTTCCGACGGAACCCGTTGCCCGTAGACTACACAACTACATGCGGCGTCAGTAATGATTCGTTGACATCAGCTCCGCCGAGGTGCATAGGTGCGGCTGTACGTGCGGAGTGGGGCGTAGTTTCACGTCTGTTAAGCGGCGAGGGGTGCTCAACAATTTCTAGTCAGCCTCATGCCTTCCATGGACAAGACCTCAAGGTTTATTTCCGCCAGCAAGTTACAAGTTACCGGTACCATTGGGCGGGCCCATACGACTGAGACCGCATGGCCTCTAGCTTCACCAAACGTACATAAAAGGTTGTATGGAGCCAGGTTTGGACGCAGGTTGCCTCATTCTGTCATCACCTCGCTTTTTCCTCAGCTACAACAAGACGCTATAGCAAACTCTCTTCATGGCTGTATCAACAACAATTATCTTCATCCCTGGTGCGTGGCACAACCCTCATTGTTTCGACAAAGTGACTCAACGGCTGGAAGCCGACGGTTACAACACAGACGTCGTTCACTTGCCCTCTGTTGGTCCTAACAAGCCACATTCCGATTTCTTGGAAGATGTCCTTCAGATCAGGGAACAGATCGAGAGTGCTGTCAAAGCTGGCCAACGAGTGGTGGTCGTGATGCACTCGTACGGTGGGCTTCCGGGCTGCGAGGCAATTCGTGGCTTAGACTGGGCATCTCGACAGCGCCAGGGTCAACCAGGGGGTGTCGTTCATCTCTTCTTTTGCTGTTCGTTTATCGTTCCGGAGGGGAAATCATTGATTAGTTCTTTTGGCGGCGATGATCTCCCTTGGTTCCAAGTCTCGGACGATGGATTGCTTGTGACACCGGCTACCCCCAGAGAAACATTCTACAACGACATGAATGAAGTTGATGCAAAAAGGGCTGTCGAAGCACTAAAACCGCATAGTTACCAGACTTTTCATAGCAACATTACCTTCGCGGCTTGGAAGCATGTTCCGTCCACGTACCTCTATTGTTTGAGGGACGAGGCCATCCCACTCTCAGTGCAGAAAACGATGGTGGAGGAGGTTGCTAAAGGGATCCAGATTCAAACTCACCGTGTGGATGCATCTCACAGTCCTTTTTATACAGCGCCAGACCATGTGGCAGTTGCCATCAAGGCCGCTACTCAGTGATCCTAGATTATGTTGAGAGGGTACGATGACTACAATCCGAGATGCTCTGGATAGACATGTCTCTGGAATTGAAAGGTGCGGTATGCAGAATCCTACATCCGGCTCAAAAATGGCCGCTATACCAAGTCACAACTAGAAATTGAGAGTGGTAGATATAATCTCTCTGTAGAGGAGACCAGCTATACAGTCACTTCCCTAAAAGTAGGAATCAAATACTCGGAAGCTACAAGGATCTCAAGCAGAAACCTTAGAAACAATACAAGAAAGGCGTCTTCTATATCTATTGCTAGGGAGCGCTCGGTGCAGGTTGAGTACAACCCAGGGGACAACAAAACAACCTGCACGGGTCTGCAGGCCCCTTTCCGCACTGCAAACACACCGCGATCCACACACACATTCTGCGGGCTACCATACGGGCTCTACGAAGACAGCCCGCAGTCCGTGCAACTTCACGTGCCTATGCTCTACCTGTAGATTTACCGCTTTCTGTAGTTGGACCCCGCGTACGAGCGCCACCGCCAGATTTCAACTGTCCTATCCGGGGATGTCGTGGATATCAGGGATGTACTAGACTTAAATATCCTAATGCACTGAGGAATTAAATTATATAAAATGTCACCTCCCATTGATAAAGCTAAGTCCTTGGCACCGCAGACAGGGACCAGGAAGGGGTGACTCACAGCGGTGGAGTATTTTATCAACTAATGGCATCCCTTGGCCGTCCCTCAAACAACCCGACATCATCTTCACCTAATCCAATCTGGACATCATCCATCATGCAAATTTCACTTCAGGAGATTGCGGCCAACGCCATTCAAGCCAGGAGACGCATTCGCCATCACATCTACAAAACCCCTCTAATACCAGCCAGACGAATCGGTCATGATCAGGACGCAAAGGTTCTGTTTAAAGCAGAAAATTTTCAACTAACCGGGTCTTTCAAAATACGAGGGGCACTTTCTAAACTGTCGTCCCCATCAGCACAGGGGCCTCTGATCACAGCATCGTCAGGTAACCACGGCATCGGTGCCAGTTTTGCCGCCAGAGTGCTCGCAAAGAACCTTACCGTCGTCCTTCCCGAGACAGTGGTGCAGACAAAGTTGGAAAATATTAAGTCGTTCGGTGTCGACGTGATCCTGCATGGTGCGGAGACCGGTCTGGCTGAACGGCACGCGCAGCAGCTTGCTTCGTCGGGTTCCTACACTTATATCTCGCCGTACAACGACGCTGAAGTGATTGCCGGACAAGGAACAATCGGACTTGAAATCCTTGAGCAGCTGGACGAAATAGATAACATCTTCATTTCCATGGGCGGTGGTGGGCTTCTCAGCGGTGTCGGATCTGTTCTCAAATCTTTCTCCCCCAAGACGAAGATATATGGAGTCTCCGCCAGCAATTCCAAAGCGTTGGCAGCCTCTCTAATGGCTGGTCATGTCGTTGAAACGGATCATTTCCCTACCCTGGCCGAGGCTGTGGCCGGCGGTATTGACCAAAACACGATAACGCTTCCTCTCGCAAACGCGGTCGTGGACTACGTTATTGAGTGCAACGAAGCAGAGATCCTGAGATCCGTGAAGGCTCTTGCTGCTCAGGAGAACATTATCGTCGAGGGCTCTGCGGCGCTTGCTCTTGCAGGATTCAATAAAGTCGCTGAGAAATTGACCGGCCAAACCAGTGTCATCCTTCTATGTGGTGGGAACGTTGATCATGATTATATCCCGAAGGTAGTATGTAGCTAGCATTTGAATGGATTTGGTAAATGATGAATTCGGCGAACCCCCTCACCCTTCCTCCCTACCCCCTTTTATTTTTATCACAAGCGTACTTCGTTGGACGGATTCTGGAACAGCCAACAGACGTACTCAGCTCAAGCCCAACCTCATTCACTCCAGTACATGTCTTCCGCGACGACACATGCGCTAGTCAGGAAACAACACATATAGATTTGCAGTTTGCTGACTGCGCCATGTATAAATTTGCGTCACCTAAAGAAATCAAAAGATGACCCGTATGATGCATCCCACTTCAGCCGCGGCTGACAGCAGCTGACAGCAGCAATGTTACCGTCTGTTTCTGCAGAACACGATCGAGGTCAACTTTGTCCAAATGTAAGCTGGGTTCAATACTCTAGAGTCGCGCCTGGTGTGGAGAAGAAATGGGTGTCCAATGGGGCCCGTATTGTGTGATGGGACTATTTTATGGGCTGGTTCGATTTCTAACCATTGGGGTAACAAAGGTGAAGCAGCTGTTCGTCACGAGAGGCGAAATTCGTTTTCACTGGAGACACTGGCCGACTTCCAGCAGAGGTGCCTGATGTAGGGGGTGCGGGTGCGGGTGCGGGTGCGGGTGCGGAAAAGGCACAGTACGTCAGAGAGTCCGTGGCAACCCTAGTCCGAGCCAAGTCTACAATGACCCGTCTGATTGGGGTTAGATCGCAGGAGGTCTCCCCTGTGCCACGGGCCGTAAGTGAATTAGACTACATTCACTTATGAGACCACTTGTTTTTGCCACACTGTCCCCGTCCCCTTCCCCACCTCTCCTTGGTTGCTGTCCCGTGCATCTCCCATTTTCTTTATTACCGGTCAACCTGCGGCCGCACGCAACCGTTATCACCGCCACTAGAAGGATAATGGCCCCGTTGTACGGAGATAACCTTTTCCCGGAGTTAAACATGGACCTAGTTGGGAACTTGATCCGCGGTTTAAACATCCTCGCGTGTTATAAAGTGTTGGTGACGCAGGTCAGTCTAGTTCATTCAGTGAATTGGACCGGACGACAGTAAGAAATCATAGAACGAATGCCAACACTTCCGGTCAGAATGTCGACTCACAAAGCCCTGGTGCTCCACGCCCGGGACCAGCCACTCATCCTTGAAACTGTCCCCCGGCCCATCTCATCAACCGGTGACGCGATTGTTCGCATCCTCGCTGCCGATATCGTACCCTACATGGGAGACGTGATTAGCAACAAGCGTCCTTACCCGCTCTCCGTGCCCATGACACCGGGGAACACCGCCATTGGCCGAATACACGAAGTTGGACCGGATGCCGTGGACCTAACACCTGGCCAGCTCGTCTTCTGCGACATCACCATTCGCGCCCGAGATAACCCGGCCGTCTCTATCCTCTATGGTGTCCATGGCGGCGGATATCCCGCAGCACAGAAACTCATGGACGGCGTCTGGCGTAACGCGACGTACGCTGAGTACGCGCGATTCCCGTTAGAGAATCTGTACCGCCTGGATGAAGCGCTTCTTCTTGGGCCACTAGGATACAGCATTAATGATCTCTGTCTCTTGCCAGTGTGCCTTGTTCCGTTTGGCGGTCTTTCGGAGGTCGGCTTGAAGCCTGGCGAGGTAGTGATCGTGGCTCCCGCAACAGGGCGGTACGGCGGCGCCGCTGTGAACATTGCCCTGGCAATGGGCGCGACGGTGATCGCTGGTGGGCGGAACCAGACCATGTTAGAGAAGCTTAAGAGCATTCATGTTACAAATCGACTAAGAACGGTCCGGATCACCGGGGATACCGCCGCTGATACAGAATTGTTCCGTACAGCAACTGGGAAGCCGGATGGAGCAGACGTGTATCTGGATCTTTCGCCACCAGCAGTTCAGGGGTCATCGCTCCTAGCATCTGGCATTCGATCATTGCGTGCCTTCGGTCGATGCGTTGTTATGGGAGGCAATTCGGGAAATCTCGACTTCCCTTACCTCGAGATCATGTTCAAGAGTATTCGAATCCAGGGGCGGTTTATGTACGATCGCCAGCATGTGCAGCAGATGATCCAGATGGTCGAGTCGGGATTGCTTCCTCTTGGCAGCAAGTCTGGTGTCTCTCAGACGAAGGTGTTTGGGCTTGAAGAGATCCAACAGGCGTTGGAGTCCGCTGGTAAGCTGAGCGGTTGGGGTGAGCATGTGGTGCTCAAGCCGTAGAGTATGCAAAGCCTCACACCAGCCGGAGACTCTATGTGCTATCTCCGTGGAGTGGATGGGCAGAATCCCGGGCTCAGCTCGCAAGGCAGCTGGGTAGTTGCATGGGTAGTCTCATGTGGACGACACTTTGAAATCAATTCCCATTCCATATATGCCGGCTGGATTTCATCCGCTAAAATGTTGGTTAAAATGTTCCGTACTCCCTACACTATATAGAGACCAGACAGCGTAGCCTCCAGCTGGGACCACAGACGGCGGTTACCGATCCGACTTCCAAAGGTTCTCATTCATTCCATAGAACCCAATCTCTAAACATGCTTTCCCAAAGAGCATCGAAGCAATTGAGGAGGATAGAAGAGGATGCAACTATATAACTCCAAAGCGGTTGGGCAGGATGTTTACTCCCAACGAACACGGGTTCTATGCATAGCGTCATCTGAGACTACAAGCGAGCACCTATCATACAACAATGTGTTGTACTAGGCTCTGACAGAAAGGTCTACGCCGGCAGGGCCATGCCATCAGCCCTGAAGTCACTTCCACCTTCAAGAACCGTCTGCCCACCGTCACCATGAACAGCCCGTATGACCTGTCCTCGACCAAAAACCTCTCTATCCCACCCGTGCATCATGCGAACAACATGGCCTCGCCTTCTAAGCTCTTCCACAACCAACATATCTACCCCCTCTTCTATGTAAACCGTTCTGTCATACACGCTCGCCGACCCAAAATGGCCCATAGGCCCAATACAGACCCTTGGGGCATCGAGTGCCTTCTGGGCATCCATCCCGAAAACGAGCATATTGATCAATAATTGCACATGTCCCTGGGGTTGCATGAATCCACCCATAATCCCGAACACCGTATGTAACGATCCATCGTCTGGGTTCGTAGCTATGGCCGGTATAATCGTGTGATACGGCCTCTTGCCAGGAGCAAGTACGTTAGGGTGTCCCGGCACTAAGGTAAAATTGGCGCCACGGCTCTGAAGCGTGAACCCGCAACCACGCGGGATAATGCCGGTTCCAAAACCGTGATAGTTGCTGTTTACCACGGATGCGGCGTTGCCATCTTTGTCTACGACGGCGAAGTACACTGTATCGCACGAGTTGAAGGCGGGACTGCCGTGCGTCATGGTATCTGAAGCCTGGGTCGGACTGAAATGCCGGGCTCGTTCCGCTATATAGGCTTCGGACAAGAGTTCAGGTGTTTTAGAGAAGGTCGGATCCCCTATCCACCACGTCCCATCGGCAAAGGCGATGCGGAAGATTTCTATAAGTGCATGGATGTAGTCTGCGGAGTTGTGGCGGAGGCTCGCGAAGGAAGCTAATTGCTCGGTGCGTTCTAACTCCTCCAACAATTTCAGGGCCATGAGAGCAACGAGACCTTGGCCGTTCGGTGGGTGCTCCCAGACATCGACATTTCCATTAAACTGAACGCGAACCGGGTCGGTCTCTGCGGTACCCATATGGACATGATAGACCAAGTCTGCGTGGGAGAGGAACCCACCACGAGCTTCCACTGCCTTGACAATAGCATCCGCGACTGCGCCTCGGTAGAAGCCATCCTTTCCCTGCGTAGCAAGTGTACGGAATGTCCGTGCAAGGCTTGGGTTTGTCATAATTTCTCCGGCCAAGGGGGCGCGAACTCCGTCCTTCGCTCTGGTGTCGGGTTTGAGAAGTTCGCGGAAATTGGATGACGCCTCTCGCAGTGACTGCTCGTTCTCCTGCCACTGTAAACCGTCAGCTTCACCAGAGCAGTATTAATCCTGGGAAGGAACCACCTTACCAATCTCGCAGAGATCTCAGAAACTGGAAATCCGTCCTCGGCAAGAGAGACGGCAGGCTCTAACACCTCCGCCAGTGAAAGCTTCCCGCTACCAAACCATCCCAAAGTGTCTACCCATCCAGCCGCTGCCCCCGGTGTCGTGACAGCCAATACGCTGTTAAGCGGAATATTACCACTTTGGCCAGGTGAAATCTCCAGATTTCTCCGCGCAATATCAAGCGTGAGATTCATGGGACTACGGCCAGACCCGTTCAGTCCGCGTACTTTACCGGTCTTGCTTTCGTAGAAGAGACAGAACATGTCGCCGCCAATACCGGTTGACCCTGGCTCGGTAACATTTAAAGCAGCCGCTTACGGTGGAAATGTCAATGAGCATAAATGGATAAGCGGTTGTAGCTTACACGAACCTACTGCTATAGCTGCATCCTGGTAGACTGTCATTCGCCGTTGTGCTCGCCCTGGGATTATGGAGGACTAACCGCTGCATTCCCGCCCTTCGCCAGAATGGCCTGTCCTGCACTCGCTGCCAGCGGCTGCGAGCATGCTATCATGCCAGCCACACTGTAGACAGCGCTCCTCCGACCAAGGAAGGGGCTAAAGGGGGTTTTCTGGAAGGGAAAAGCCATACTCAATGAGATCGGAACAAGAAAGGATAGCAGATTTGCCAGTGAGTAGGTCTCTATGAATGTTCTGGAGAGTCGTGCCATCGTAGGACTTAACAGGTTTCTCGTGGACTCGACATATATGTTGTAGTAGCGCTACAGGAGGTTGAAGTAAACGTCACCGGAATTGGTGCTGTCCTCCCCGGCAAGGACCAGCGAAGGCCCACAACGACGGCTGCAAGGCCCACATGGCAACGGAGTACCGGAGTTAAGGAGCGGAGGGGGAAATACAGTAAAACATGGTTATAAGCAATTATATGAGACACACCACCGAATTGCTTATATCGAGGTCTTGCTAATATTGAATATTCTATCTAAAATATAATTTTATTGCGTATCTACCCTTTTTTTAATAGAATATTATTTTCCTGATATGCTAGCGAATATAAAAATATTAAATCAATATAAAATTATACATGAGGACTTCGTCGATCTTGAATTGCCACTTACCAAGACACCCACCCAGCATCTTATAGACGATTTCACGTGGGTCCATAGGCTCGGTGATACCAGCAGGGAGGGGATAGTGTGCTGTAAAGGTATCCTTCTCGTCCTGGTCAATGAGAAACCCGGTGGCGACTGGAAACGCGTGCCAGAAATGTCCGAAATGCAGTTTCTGAGCTAGCTCTGTGGATCGGAAGTGAACCAGGTAGAAGCGTACGGGACTTCTCAGCAGCAGCAAGATCATTAGTAATTAGTAAAGCGAAAGAGGTCCAGGGCGAGAATGTCCATACATCTGACCTCCAGGCATTATAATTCCGGCAAATTTCCTGACTCTGCTGCTGCCACCATCACAGCCCACGAGATAGCGAGTTCGGTCTGTACGCGTTGCGGCAGTGCCATCAATGAACGTAGCTGTGGCTCCATCGTGTGTTTCAACATGGTTCGTGTATGTCCATCCAACTTTAGAGGTCACATTCGCTCGGGTAGAAATAATCCCCTTAAGCCAAGCCTCAAAAATAATCTGCGAGCACCGTTGGCCCGGCTCAGCGGGTTGTGTCCCGTCATTATGTGCCTTTATGTACGGTCGAGGCGGGATAGAGAGTTTTGTGGGAGACGGCAGATTAAACGGGAGTTTCACCGCGGAGGTTCCGAAAGGCCCTTGAAGCTGGGGCTGACGGGATGGCTGTTCCGGTGTAGTTTGACTCCTGTACGCCTAGTACACCCGGACAATATCTGATTAAGCTGCGCAGAGATACTAAGTTGGCCAGATTTGCGATATCTGTAAGGGACAGTGATGTGCGTCGGAATTAAAAACTCGAACTGCTTAAAACCGGCTCAGGTGGGAGCCAGGTGGTAATCAGCGGGTGAGACGAACCCACTCCCGGTACGGCCGGTGGAATGACATAAAATCTACACATACCCGCAGTCCTGCAGTTGTAACGGCACCTAAATAATTATTGGGATAAGGACGGTAAGGGAGAATATAGTAAGCCACGAGCATAATCATGTGACTGACAGCCTTGGCGTTAGTCCAAAGCGTATTTTACCCTGGGTCACGTTTTGAGTTGTGGCCCCCCGACCCCCCCCGCCCCCGGCCCGGAATTGGCACTTCCACTACTTTATCTAAGCAGCGTCCCCGAAATCACAGTCGCTAACATGTCGTCGTCCCACCGAGAAAATGGAGCCGAACAAGAACAGGGCAGAGCTGCGCTGGTCTGTCTGACCTGCAAGTCAGGCAAGCGACAGTGCGATAAGCGACTTCCAATCTGTTCTCGATGCAGAAAGTACGTTTGACGTCCGATTGACACCTTAGTACTGAATACCAAACAGGTTCCATGCACCACGGATATTAACTTTGACCTATCCTGTAGACTAGACAAGCCATGCGAATACCCAACGGCCTCGCAACCGGGACCTGTTGCTCAGCCGATCCAATCAGGGTCATTCATGGAGAGGCTCTGGCCTGATGCATGTTTCCGGTGTAAGGTGCATAAACGTGGATGTGACCGCATCATTCCAAAGTGCTCCCGCTGTCTGAGGTACGTATAGACTGCTGGGAATTACCGGGCCGCCCCGGGGGGGGGGGCAAGGGGGGCATAATTGGACCGCCAAATTGTATTGACAAGGAATATCTTTAGAATAGGATCCAGCTGTACATACCGAGCGACGAACCCGCGGCCCACGGTCGTTGTCCCTGGTGATACTGAAGCAGGCACCTATAGAGCCCAACTAAGGATGGATTCCGCTCCATTGGCACAGACAGAACTAGGAGTGGCGTTCGAACCTCCTGTGAGGTGTCGCTCCTATATGTTGCACTTAATACAATTCTGTGGGTCATGTTGCAGAGCCCCATTTAAATACACTAACTACTCACCACCCGAAAGTTCTCACCTCTATAGCTTTACCCTCGGATACAGTGGTGGCTTACAGTCTGGCACACCATCTCCGTTCTCAATGGATGCAACACGCTATGTCCGATCCTTGTCTATTCCATGCCACACTGTTCAGTGCATCCGCATCGATTGACATGCTGCAAGACCAGCAGCATAGCGCACGAACGCTGTACCACCACACCTGGGCTATCCGCTTGATCAACGAACGGTTAGCACAAACAGAGCCAGTCCTAGACTATGGAACTCTGGGAGCGGTAGTACCCTTGCTATATTACAACGTGGGTATACGTCCTATAGGATACAGTATGCAGATAGATAGTACTAACGACTCAAAGATGCTTGCACTTGACCGAGATTCCGCGGTCGCGCACCAGAAAGGCCTGGTGAAGATGCTTCTTGCGACGCCCCAATCCTTTCGAGCCGACATAGGACCCCTGATTGCCATTGTCAAGATGTACGTGGCCATTATTCCTTCCTGAGCTGATTAATTTGTTGCTCATCCTTCTAGTGCCATGCTCTCGTTCGCCTGCATATATGACGTGCTCCCTGTCTGGGACTGCTTATCCTCTGAATCAGTTCGCCCGAACACCATCCTTCGGAATGTCGTGTCGAGGGCCACCTTGAGCAACGATGAGTCGTCTTTCGAGAAAGAGACTGCAGATGCAATATTGGACGTGTACGAAGCCATATCACGGCTTGATTATATAGTCCACGGCGAACGCGGTAGTATTTCTGCTGAAGTTGAGCGTGCGCTCTCTTTCGCAACCACGAAGTCTTGGACTGGTAGGCCCGAATCTAGCCTCCCCCTTACTCCGCCAGAGACGCTTAATGTATGCTGCCAAATCTGCTGCGAATTGTTCTGGAAAGTGCTTCTACGATCATCGCACTCTCAACGAGCACCAGACATGGCTGGAGACCATGCAGTCCGGCAGCTTCTAAAATACCTGTCGCAAATAGAGCCGTTATACTGGATCCGCAACGCTCCGGAAGTGTTCACATGGGCTGCCTTTACCGGCGCGGCTGCGTCGGAGCACCAAGATACGTGCGTTGCTTTCATCAGCAAAGCGGGAACCATATTGACAGCCATCGACGACGAAGAACTGACTCTTATACGGCAAGGGTGGAGGTATTTCCGCCTGCTAAAAGGTCTTGCTGGAGATGATAACTAGCTTGCTGTTTTGGGAGACGGTTGCTACGGATCGACTGGTGAACGAAATGGTGTATGAATTCGCCTATTCATACCCTCGACTTCTAAGGGCCTTCATCGTCCACTCCCAGAGATCCTCCGCCATCTTCGGGTCTGATCCCACTTTACTAGGCGCAGACACCTTTCCAATTGGCAGCAGATATGCTCCATTGTCGCACTCTAGCCGTAGCTTCGGCGACACGGCGGCGAAAAGAATATTCGCTGCCCCCTTCCGTGGACCAGGCGCACCCAGCTCAACAAGAGGCTTTATCAGCCGATAGAGCGGAGTTGACGAGATCGGCCCTGCGGATAGGTTCCTAATAATTGTCACATCCGTGCTTCGAATGGTTGGACAGGGAAAAGCAACGTACGTCTTTACCGTTCCCGGATGCAAGGACAATGTAAGAATGTTTGGATACCTCTTCGCCAATGCTTTCGAATGCAGAACGTTGGCAAGCTTCGAGTGGCCATATCGGGCCCAGACAGAGAAATTATCCTTCATGTTCATGTCTGATAATATTATGCCCTCCTTAGGTGCGAGTTTGGCGTGCCCGTCGCTAGATACATTCACAATACGCACGCTTCCCTTTTCGGTCATTTCTGCTGTCTTCTGGAGTATCGGGATCAGCAATTTTGTGAACAGGAAATGGCCGATATAGTTCACCTAACTGCGCTTAGCTATAGGTCCAACGAAGCTGGTACATAAGGCTGTACCTACCCCTATCTGCATCTCAAACCCCTCCGTTGTCTCCTCGTATGGAACGCACATAACCTGGAACGAGTAAGCCATGCCTGAGGAGGAGAAGAACCCTACACACGCCAGCATTATTCACAAGTAAATGAAGACATGACTCCTGCCTACACCATCTATTATCAGAAACAGGATTCACACATGTCAAAAGTCGCTAATACAACTCACTGAGCAAACATCTTTGCTGCCTCCCGCACATTATTCAAATCGGCCAATTCCAACATCAGAAACCGCAAATCTGCATCTGGGCACTCAGAAAGGATATCCCGCTCTGCAGCCTTGAACTTCGTGCCTGACCGACTGGCAATATACACCCGGGCGCCATGTTTCGCAAGTTCGATGCTGGTGCCGAAGCCGCTGTCAGAGATTGAAGAAATGAGAGCTGGACGAGAAAGAAATTAATCGAGTTAGGGGAAGTGGCATACAGTCCTGTGTGTCCACCCGTTACGATGGCGACTTTCCCAGTGAGATCGGGGATGAAATCATGCGAAGTATTACTCATTGCTTGAACCCGGGGAAGGACAGTGCTGCGTTGTGTCTCGCTCACGCTGCGGGTTGTTCTGCCCTTTTATCTTACAATAATACTTCGACCAGGCAGCTGCAGATGCTTGTCTCGAATACTGGTATAGATGCGCCAGTCTTCGAGGGCAACGGAGGCAAATGACGAGGTGCGGGTGCGGGTGCGGCCGCATGTCACATGCGGGTGTGGGTCGATTATCTGTGCGCTGGAGGATTTTACTCACGGTTACCCCATACCGGGAACGGAGGGTATGGATACAATCGCCTTGATAGGTTGCTCGGTGTAACGTTATGGTTTGGTCCTGTCCATGTTTAAGGCGAGCCTGATGTGGTCTTGATGAAATATACTATTAGTGGCATTTGTTTCAACTTCCCGGAGGTTTAGCAATGTAGTGCTGCAGAATCGAAACTCTTCTCATCCCTTCCTATCTGGCCCTTCTTGATTCCACGGCTCAGATTGGGCAATAAATGATTATTGTTACATAGCTGGTACAGGCCACATGCCGCGGCGGTCTCAATTCTAATCTCTACGGGCGTCTTCTGGGTTGAGAAGGTATATAGGTATATAGGCCTCGTCCTGAGTATCCCAACCTTCAACGAGACCTAAACCCAATGATGGACGACAGATTTGCTTGTTTATGCTAAAGCTTCACCACAACATGCCCACCCCAAACCGCTCAGCTTCCCAGCCGCCTCTCATGCCTCTTAGAACCCCTCCGGCCCGAAGTCCGCAGTCTGAATGACGCCGAACTTCTTGACTAGAGGAATTAATTCAGACTAGACCGCCCGGAACTTCCGTAACGCATGTCAGATGCCAGCAGTGACGATACATGGGCCACCAGTGGCGAAAGATCGAGGCACATCTGGTCCATCCGGCTTTCCAGCCGCTACACAGAATAGCTCGATCCCATCGCCGATGATTAGTGAGTCGGACGCCCCTTAGCTGAGGTTACCAATGCCTAGCCCGACGTCCAGAAATGGCAACAATACATGGAAGCCAAAGACGAGTATTGAGGGGTTGCAGATCTCACCACAACTATAGTGGTATCTGACATATTCCTGCCATCTTCTATAGTCCGGTTTCTAACTACTCTCAAATATATTACAATCATCAGACGTATATTGCTTTGCTCAGAGAGTGCCCTAGGAGGCATGTGGAGAGGCGCTGGGTCTGCAGACTGAAGGAGAAGGTGGAGAATGTCCCGAGCACCTTCCCCAGTACGTGAAAGCTCCAACAACTAACACAATAGCTGAAAATACTTAGGAAGTTCAGGTAGAAGTGCGCTTAACCCTGACCACGCGTATCCAGATATGTGCATCCTCCATACTATGTCTAAAGCTGACCCCCGCATAAACCCACTAGAAGCACTTCTTCAACCACTGCGTCTGCGAGTTACAGTATCCCAATAGTCCAGTTAGACCCCATTCAACACCGATACCACTCTGTCTGTACCCACCAAACGGCGCTGTCGGCGAAGCATCAAAATGTGAGTTCACCCAGACCACATCAGACTCCAATTGGTCTGCAATACGGGTAGCGCGCTCAAAGTCCTTGCTCCAAACGGAGGCACCCAAGCCTCTTTCTAGTGCATTAGCCTTTTTGACCACGTCCTCCTCATCAGACCACTTCATAACGGGGAGGATAGGGGCGAACGCTTCCTCTTGAACCACACGCGAGGTGTCGAGCGGGTTGTCGATGATGGTACACCACAACTCTCGGTTGGTAAATCAAGGCTTGCACTACTGACAACAGGTCACACTCTCCCAGCAGTGGCTGACTGGGCACACACTGATCCGACTCTATTGGCATAAGGACGAACAATCCAACATCACTCGATGAGGCTATATGCATGCTGAAATTATAGCATTATCCAATAGGAATCGTGAGTGAACGCCAGTGGGTTTTATACCCATCCCTCTTTTTTGGTTCCACAAAATGGAATCGACTCCTTTACAGGCTCACGCCATTTCAGCTTGGTGTCGTGCGGCGGTTCTTCGAGCCATATACTGCCTGCGTCTTAGCCACACCTCCGAGAAGTTAGTACTCAACCGTGGTGGGAAAGCGATCACTACTATAATCATCGCACGGAGTAGAATTCCTACGCTCCTTGAACCGAGTCATTGATCTTGTCCCAAAATGCCTCTCTCACTCTCTCTTTGTTTTCTTTTTTTTTTTTTTTTTTTTTTTTTTTTTTTTTTTTTTTTTGTCTTGTTGTTGTTATTGTTTTCTTGTAGGCTTCTTCACCGACACCCTCGCTTTATCTATAATACTTCGAATACCTCATAACAGTTGATCTAATGACATGTTCTGGGTAACCCCCATTGCTCCTGTGTAGTATCTGTGACGATTAGGGTAGAACAAAATAGGACCGTGCTATTTTAAGGAGTTACGTCGGCTAAAATATTACCAAAAAGATCTAACTGACTATCTATTTAGGTCAATGAATACGACAGCGTTCTTTAATGCCGAACCCATTCAACGCTCATCCTGTCTTACAACAACCCAGTCATATGTATGAAGCGCTGCAGCAGCACCCACACAAAGACCAAAATAAAACAAGCGATGGTAATAATCCCGAGACGAAGGGCTAAAGCGTCTTTAGCCAGTCTGTCTCGAGCCCAGCCGGAAACGGCTCCACTAAAGGATGTCCATTTGTTACCCAGACGCAACCAGCCTCGTTCAGTCTCCGACTGGACCTCTTCAGCTCTGAATATCTGTTCCATTGACTCTTCTAACAGATGGCCCATCATAAGCTTATTTTCCCTATCATCCTCGACTGTCTTGGCTCTCAGCCTCTCCTCCCGACGACTCAACAGTTCGCGCTCTGCCTCAATGTTTCTGAGCTGACAAGCTAGATTTTCTTCCAGAACATTCTTGTTGAACTCGAGGATTTGGATCTTATCCTGCAGATCATGATGGAGATTCTCAAGCTGTGAAGTGCGTGGGGTATCTCCAAGAGTTTCAGTCAACTGCTTAGCGATCCCAACAAGATCGCAAACCCCGTGTGCAGTCGTCGGAAGTCGATGTACAGCAGTATGACGCACTTTCACTACTTTCGACAGGATCGACTCAATTTTAAGGTCTGTTGGACGAAGAGCATCTTCTGGGATCTCGGTCGTCCATCGGAAAGGAGGTCTCGTCCACTTGGTCAGTTCAACAGCTGCAGCACAGTCCCATCCGTTCCTTTCAAGATAATTAGGGAGCCACTTCTTCATAAAGTCGAATATGCACTCCTCTAGGACTTGCTGCACATTGGTCAAGATCCGATGTTGGGCATGATAGGGCAGGTACAATGGGAAAAGTGAGGCTGTAGGTCTCTCTGGGATCAATGTTTCATCTGCGAATTCCACGTTATTAATGAACCGAAAAGGACATCTCACCATCTACACGTTTCATACCTGAATCATTGTCCTGCTCAACCTTCACCTCTCGGGTGAAATCAACATCTGCTGGTGCAGGGGTTGGAACTGCAACAGCGTCCACTCGCTCGTCTTCCCCTTCACTCCCGTGTTCTTCGTACGATTGTGAAACCACCTCGAGCACTTCTTCATTTGAGCGAGACGCTTCCTGTTCAAGCACCGCATTCAGCGTCTGCCGTACGGGACACGGGTCAAAGAGACCAGGAAAATAAGCTTCAGCCTTGGCCTTCGAACCGAAAAGGCCCTTCTCTAGAAGAAGCTTGGCAATCGACACTACCCTAGTGAGATGGTAACCTGGAATCAGCCTTCTCAAGGAGCTCTCATGCATTTCCACGCGTGTGCGGATAGCCTTCGTTTTTCGTATGCTTGCATTCGCACCGCTGAATATAGCACTACAGGCAAGAAAGACCTGTCGTTGTTCGTATTTTGGAGCTGCTGGCATAACTGGGCTGATGTAATAGGGGCAGATCTGATAGGGCTGGCAGTAATGGGAGGAAAGAAGTATCTTTTAATGATCCTACCGAAGAATAGAATGCCTAGAGCTGAAAGAGTGCGTAGACTGCAGAGAAGAAGCTTTTCAGGCAGGTCACTCCTATGGTAATTAACCTGGCTTATTGCTTCACTATATATTGGACACCCATCTGCAAAGTATCGTCATTGCTTCTCTCCAGCGCCTATGTGTGGCTAGGGAAGTGGCTGTGCCGGACGAGCCCAAAGGGGACCCTAACAAGGCTGTCTACAGTAAAAAAAAAAGGAATAAGCGGTATTCTAGACATCGCTGGTCACAATCGTTAAATTGATTGGACGTCAAGATATTATTCCTTTGCCGCCGCAGCAGGCAGATGCAAGTTGGCGCAGGCGCCTAGCAGGGGTGTCCGGCGGGGTATGTGTACAGCCTCGGGCAACCTTGCCGGGCAAGGTAGCATAACGGCATCAGTACGTTGGCTACCACAGCCAGAAATATTTCCAGCGAGCTTGCATCCTTAGCAGACCCAATAGATATCGGACAACATAATCGGGGTTCCTTCCGGTTAGTGCTGAGCCGTCCAACAGCTATCATGGTGGCACCTAGATGCTATGCTTCATGTACTCCACCTAAGCGCTTGGTTATCTCCTAGTCGCTCATATCGATAGGCTCTCAGCTTCTAAGAGTATTTTCTGGAGTCCCTTGAGACACTGTCATGCAATACTCCACCGGCAGAAAGCGCGCAAGGCTGAATCTGTTCCAGTTGCCCTAAAATGGAAGTACAACGCCACCAACAATTTCGTTGTATAGCTCACAGGGTGCTACTGTAGGCAATGGTATCAGCTGGCATCTCGCAGCTCCATGCATAGCTCTTGAGCCAAATATGTATGCCATGGTGCCGCTCTTACAGGCTGCCTCGTTCCAGCAGTATAGAACCCCGCAACTATCTTGCGTGCCAACACACACCAACATGTCTCGAGCATCGTAGCCTTGCATGCAGCAATAGAGGATGACGTGTCCGTTGCGTCTAGGGGCTGGATTCATCCCCGCGGTAGCACCTGGATTTTGGCGCTGTTTATTACCGCCTGGGATCCCAGATATAAAGGTGTCCACTCACACTTTAAGAAACCACCACCGTTGCTTGTGGACAAAATTCCCGACACGACGATCACCATGGCTAAAAGTCATGATAAAAAGAAGAAGAAGAACAAGGGGATATCCAACACAGTCATTGCCCCTCTTGAGGATGACTTGCCTGAGCAACCCACGGACCTAGTTATTCCAGAGCTCGAAGAGTATGCCCAGGTAGCTGAATGGTAAGGGCCATACCTCTATCCTTTCCCATTATCGTACCTTCTCTCCATTGTCTATTAGACCCATACCTTCAGTGCTATTGAGCCGTTGCTAACATTGAAATGTAGTCCTTATACGACTCCCATCATCACCCTCAAGGTCGACGGCAACTACTACAGGATTCCACAGCAGTACCTCCAACCATATAAAACTTTGCAATTCGAACCGGAGGTTATGCACAATGAATACTGGGGGAGTGAGCGCCATCATCACCACCAGCTGTGCATTGAGCCGCAAAGTGCCCATACCTTCATTCATTACTTGTACACTGGACAGTATGAGACACTTAAAACCCCACCCAGCATACCTCAGGCAGCGGAAGACATCCCCACAATACTCAACACTCGTGATAAAGAGGAGTTCGAGCGCGCAGTCTATGTATATCAGGCTGCCGTTCAATACGAGATCCCGGGGCTACTAAGCATGGCGCAGCACTTCATGGCCCGATTTGCCGAGAGATTGTCAATAGAAGATATTCTGCGTGCCATAAGATGTGTTTACGGAAGCCTTCTCGATGATCATTCTGGACGCATGTGGCTTAAGGACTTTGTCCGAGAACAATTGATTGTGGCATTTAGAAACACAGATGGAAAGCTGCGACAAATCATAAAGAACTATGAGATTGGAAATAGTCAAAGTTTCGATACTTTCGTTGTTGATGAGGTCTTGGCACTATACGAAATGGAGCAAGACAGAATACACCGCGTGATGAGCTTGGTCGAATCTTATAAAGCTATTAAGCCTGTGCCTCATCGCATATTCGAATGGAAGTGTGAGCCTAAGGGTGTGCCTGAGTGTGAGCCTGTGTGTGAACCTGTGTGTGAGCCTGTGTGTGAACCTGTGTGTGAGCCTGTGTGTGAACCTGTGTGTGA